TTGAATAAAACCAACACTTAAGTTGCGTCCCAAATGACACACTGTACACTATACACTTATTCAATGCATTATGTACTCAATTATCTTATGTATGAGTTATATAAGGTTATTTTGTCATCCAGCATACCCACTCATTCTAGGATGTTATTAAAGCAGTTGACTTAGTTTCTCGGTTAATTGAGTGCATCGTCTGGGAATTTTCAGTGTGAGCACACTAGTCACACTATTTATACTGATAATGGCATAGAATAGTTCATAAGTATGCAAATCGGGACGCACCATTGTACATAATCATATCTCTTAACATAATCTCTTATGTCCTTGTCTTTGACATGGCAGGGTTATGCTCACATGTGGATTGACATGTTTCCTGTGGATGTACCTCCACCACCACCTGTTAATATCAAACCTAGACTTCCAGAGAGGTAATCAGGACATCACACATTCATTATACTAAAGCAATATATGTTCCAAAAGCAAAGTGTCACCAAAAAGACACTGAAAGAGAATTAAAGATCTGAAGATTACTTTCTACACTTCTCTCAAGAATAATAATTAGTTTATGTGCAATATTTGTGTAATGAGAGAATTATCCCTGTGTTTCTAGTTATGAGCTGCGTGTGATCATCTGGAATACTGATGATGTCGTACTGGATGATGTCAATCCTTTCACTGGAGAGCCATCAAGTGACATCTATGTTAAAGGGTCAGAATACACAAGAAATTAAATAGCCCAGAAAATCTAAAGTTTCTTTGATGCCACTTTACAGTTCTCTGTTCCATATAAAATGTAATGAGTGAGTGAAGTGACATGTGGCCAAGTATGGTGACCCATACTCTACAATCCCTGCCGGTACGAGACTCGAACCCGCAACCTTTGTGTTACGAGTCCGACTCTCTAACCATTAGGCCACGACTTCCCCAGGAATATTAATAGTAATATTCCATAAAAATATTTATTTTAATTAGTAATAATATTTCAAAGTATTACTGTTTCACTATATTTATTTTAGAAATAAATACAGCCTTGGTGAGCATAATGGACATTAAAAAACATTCAAAAATATTATTTAAAAAAATATTATTTTTACATTCACCAGCTGGATTAAAGGTCTGGAAGATGAGAAACAGGAGACGGACGTGCATTTTAATTCCCTCACTGGTGAAGGCAACTTCAACTGGCGCTTTGTCTTTCACTTCGACTATCTTCCTACTGAGAAGGAGATCATCTACAAGAAGAAGGAGTCCCTCTTCGCCCTTGAGGAGACTGAATTCCGCCAACCGGCTGTTCTGGTGCTGCAGGTCTGGGATTATGACCGCATCGGTTCCAATGACTTCTTGGGTTAGTGGTTTTAGTTACTAGTCAAGGGTTCATGTATGAAATCTACTGAAATTTTCTAGTTGGTCAGTAAAAACATGAGTTCCTTTCCAGGATCCATAGAGTTGCGTCTCAGCGATATGGTCCGTGCATCAAAATCATCCGAGCAGTGCAGCGTCAAGATGGCCAAAGACAAGGCTGGCCCTCGCTTCTCCATCTTCCGCAGCAAGAGGATGAAGGGTTGGTGGCCGCTCATCAAACTAAAGAGCCAAGAGGACATCGAGAGAGAGGAGAGGGAGGCAGAACAAGAGAAAAAAAACAAGAAGAAGAAGAAAAAGAAGTCGAGCAAGCGTAGCCAAATGAAACCAGAAGATCTGCAGTTTGTGGACAACAGTGGGAACACCTTCCTTCTAATGGTACAAGCACTTTGTCAGTGCACCAATAAAGAGTAAAATCAATGTGGTAACACTTTTGTTTACTTTGTAAAGGTAGACTCCAACTCTTCATTGATTAATGTGGTTTGCAGGGTAAAGTAGAGGCAGAGTTCCACCTAGTGACAGCTGAAGAAGCCGAGAAGAACCCTGTGGGAAAAGCACGCAAAGAACCCGAACCTCTGGACAAACCAAAGTAACAGACTAAAACACACTATCTGTGCATATATAGATATTCATATCAGTTTGCATCTTTATTGTGTACTTACTAAAATGTGCTACATAAATGTTTTTGTTCCCTTAAGCCGCCCCAAGACATCCTTCAACTGGTTTGTGAACCCCTTGAAAACCTTTGTGTTCTTTATCTGGAAGAAGTACAAGAAGTACATCATTGCTTTGATCATTTTGGTTATCCTGGGGCTCTTCCTCTTCCTCATCCTCTACACCCTGCCTACACACATCAGCCAACTTATTGTCAATGGATGAGAAGGTGGAAATGCACATAAACAAAGAAATGCACTGATCAACAGGGGAAATAATTATACACATGTACATAGCCATTATTTACTTTTAATAGGAAAGACATAAGCAATAATAACTAGAATAAGACTTTAACAATACAAACAATTGCTTGTTAAAGGTGCAGTAAGCCATTTCTGACTATCACTGTTGATATTTAACCAAAACAAACATGCCCCTACCCAAAATGATTACACCCCTATCTTGATAGCACCACCCCCAAATTCACAAATAGGCAATGCAATAGCCCCTCCCCCCATCATTAGTGGACATGCCCCTTACTGGTGATTGGCTAAGTGTTTTTTGGTGCTCAGTCTGATCCACTTTCAACAGTGTTTCTCAGAAATTGCTTACTGCACCTTTCATAAATTCAGTGCCGTTTAATGCTTTATGATTCCATGTACACTGATGTTCAAAAGATTAAAATAAATTAATCATTTGAATCAAATAAATGCAGCCTTGGTGAGTTTTAAAAACGTTTTTAAAAAAGGATTAAGAATTTTAATTTCCAATCATGCTGCTGCTTTTAAATATATTATTTATTTTATTTTATTTTATATGTATTCTAGGACTGTTTTGTCAATAAAGCGATATTGTATGGAAAGTATACACAACAAAAGCATTGCCTTCATTCAGAAGAAAAACTCTTTCATTTATGTCTAGACTGTCAGAACTTCACTTGTCTTTTTCCAAGATTAGGGTTTTATTTGCAGAACTAGAAAATTCAGCAATTTGAGGTTCATGGCAGAAGCCTATTCTACAGTGGTACACGGCAGTAAATTTGATAAATGAAATGCTCCAGCCTGGTCACAGTATATGCTACAGTTTCAGTGACACTGCTGCTCAGTGTACTTGATGATATGACAAATAGAAACCCACATCCATAAAAAAAAGTGTATTGCATTCAGGAACATGCTTCCTGCATCTTTAGAAAATAGACTTTTCTCATGTAGAGCAATAATATAAAACGTGACAGCATGTGCCTTAGTGATAGTAAATTATGTTTCAGCACTCTGTGATTCTGGGCTGATCTCAGAGTACATGATCTAAACCCACTCATGTGAGATAATTGCCTGTGATATAGAGAAGGGTAATTATATAGAATCCACCAGTGAAGCCTTACTGTCACATGGGAATTCAAATAAAAACTAGCAGCTAATGGACATGCAAATGATCACTTAATAATAACCACAGTTTCCATGGTTATGGTTATACATCATCACACTTCAGTGTTACGGACAGAATGTCACAAAAAAGAAATGAACCTAAAGGTATTCTCTAAAATACTATGTGAAAACCATGGTACCTGGATATGTTAATCATCTACCATCTGATACCATCACCACGATGCGCAGGAGATCCATTTTATTTTCATCTCAGTTGTAATTGGATTGTCACTTTCATTTTATCAGCTTCCATCAGCTACAGCAACTTTTAGGAGTGAATGAATATATGAATTAATCTACAATATTTTGCAATATTTGACTTTTTTAATGAGTTTGTTTTCAGTATAGTCACCTTAAAGTAGGTCTATATATTTTTACAGTGCATGGGCTTTAGGTATCCAGCCACCACAATGTGAGTTGTGAAAGAACAGCTTGGGAATGTGCAGTAGGGGTCACATGGCTCTCTGCAGGGCCGTTTGGGCTGTCTTGGATAGGGAGCCTGCAGCTGACTGAGTGAAACTCTAATCAGAGGTGACAGGACTTCCAAGCTTTTTTTTTATATTAATGATGCGTTATGTTGTGCTCTTTTCTACACTCTCAAATCAAAAGGCAGGCAGTGTGTGGCTATAGTCCCCTCTTGGAAATGTTTTTAGTTTTCTGATGTTCTCTCTTAATGTACTGTTTTGTTCGTGAATTAATCAGAATTTCGAATGAATCATTTACCTGAATGAACTGATTTCTGAAGAGCCTACTGAATGAATATGCCCTTCACCGAACAAGTCAATGGGGGTTTAAATCTGAGCGACACAAGCCTGTGAATAAACAAACCGGGACATCACATTTTGAACAAAAATTTTGGATGTGCACAAATAGTTTGTAAAGAACCAGTTAAATGATTCAGTGTTTCACTAAAAACACAAAAAGACACTTGTCGCCACCTACTGGCGTAGTGTAACCTACAAAATAGAGTCACCGAATGAATCAGTAAACGAACAGAATCAAAAGATTCGATTCTTTGGATGATGCACGTTTATATATATATTTGCACAGGTGAATGATAACATTTAGAAAATGGCCCTAATGCACACTTTTAATACATAAGAGAAAAATATCTCATAAGCCTACAATATCTTTATATCATAGATAGAATCTGGTGCCGGTTGCATAAACTATAGGCTAGTCTTAAAAGTTAGTCATATAAGTCAGTTACATAAAACGGTAGATCTAATTTGAATCTAAAGTAAACTGATTACACTGCTAGTTGATCAAACTACTTCTTAAGACTGTAAGACACAGTCCTAACGTGGCTATGTTTATGCAACTGGCCCATGATGGTGGTATTATTCTTTTTCAGATTGCAATTGAAAACGCCGTCTCCACTAATATACTGACCACAGTAGATGTTTATAATAGTTTCACCAGTAGGCTATTAACCACCGCAGCCATTGATGTGCTTTGTAGAGACCATTGACCAACTGCGCATGCGTACTATCGAACAGTCAGCCCTAGACTGACACCAAAACCGTCCTGTTTCCTCTTTATGCGCTTTCGCCACTGTAGCCAAACATAACACTGCTGCACTTTACTTGGCTGCTGTGGTGACTTTTCAAACAGCTTGACACCAACTTCCTCACTGACAATATCATTTTTAACGGGCTTGCTGTGAAACATTTCTTTTATAATTTTCTTAATTTTCCTTCAAAATGCCTGAGTTCATATCAGTGGACGAGTTTATCGCGGAGACATTGGAGGACTACAGCTCTCCCACCACCTCTTCCTTCTACACCAAAATGACAAGTTGCCGAAATTCCGCCAATAATATCGAGGAGGTATGAGAATATGCTTTCATCTGCTGCCTTCTGCTGTAATCGCTTATGTCTTTGACAGTTAAGTTGTGCAACATTATGAATGAAATGAAGGTGTTCTGTCCTGTCAGTCAGCAGCAGCAGCAGGTCTCAGTAGGCTATGTCTTTGTGTCTTTATCCTGTTTTACGCTGCTTTGTTTCAATGCAGAACTGCTTAGTCCAATGAACGTGTTGGCTTTCATGTATTTTTCTCCATGAACACTGCTTCAAACATTACTACAGCAGACACTGACGCTCTTTGTCTTGTTGAATCCAATTGGGCTGAGCGCAGCCTATTTCCAACACCACAAACTATGTGATTTCAAGCTAAATCCTCAATTAAAATATAGAAAATTATTGTATTAATATAACCAGTTTGCTTTTAAAAATTATTACATAGCATGTATCCTCTCGTTTTCATGTGGTGCCGTGACATATAGGCTACTACAACTGAAAGAGGAAGGGTAACACATTTCTTTGTGCGTTAACGTACATTTCCTCGTCGTTATTGCACATTAAGTTGCACCGAATACTTTGCAATCTTTCCGTTTTTGTAGTAATATATTTCACTTTTTATTTCGCATTTTGCGGCTATCTCGCGCTTCTTATCGCCTATCCCTCCTCGTGCGTCAATACGTGCTTCTGCTGTATTACCACGAGCACGTGCCTTTCATCCAGCGTTTATTAAGCTGCATAAACAAAAGCCGGGTTAGGATTCATGGACCTTTTGGAGCTAAGGAACCAGCATATAATGTTTCTGGATCAGCATCCTTTGTTGTTGTTGTTGCTGTTGAAATAACCTTCCCATGAACCAATCATTGCCCTCTGATTTTAGGGTTAGGGATGGGATGATTGGTTGATAGGGATGTTGCTCCAGGATCAGCAAAGGATGCTGATCCAAGATCATATCCTGTTCGTGAAGATCATATTGTACAATGAAAATAATGTCTGGGTGAGGTATTTTCACTGCGGTTTGCCAAAAGGCATCATTAGTGCATTTACAAAAAAAAAAAAAAAGAATTAAATGTATTTTTTTATTATTTGTTTGTTTGCTTGCTTTATAAACATAACTTATTTATTATTTAATTTGTATTTATCATATGTATTTGACCTGAAAACAATGTGATTATTTTACTATTGTATATTTTGACACAACACAGGTCATTCTCTTCCTAATAAACCAAAGCTAATTTTTATGCACATTGGTCTACATTTTCAGACCCCCAGTTGTGCCAATTTGAGGCATACAGCCGGGTCAGAGTGGTAACAATTGAATGATGACTGCTTTAATAAGAGTGACATAGTGGAATGTGAAGTAACCATGGTGATGACCTGGCCTGTGCAATACACAGCCATACAAATTGAACAGCGCACTGCATTACATGCTTGATTGTTTGGGCTTCATGTGACAGGATGGGACCCTTAATATCTAATATCGCCTTGCACATGCGCAGCCTCAGGGGGGTTCAGGACAAAAGCGTTATAAGAGAGTCTGAGTGGTGGTCTGGTTTTTCTTCTGAAGAGTCAGCCACCATTATCCAAACCATTCCTCATCCTTCATAACCTTAAGACTGTTCTCAGACCAGACTTCATCAATGAAGGACATCTCTGTATAATCTGCCTTAGTGCAGATTTACAGGCACTGAAGTAAATCTTGCTGCTCAAAACAATTATTAGAAGCTCTGGAGGGCAAGCATATGAAATATGAATGACTTAAAGGGATAATTCACCCTAAAATTAAAAAAAAATAATTTACTCACCTTTGTGTCGTTCCAAACCTGTATGATTTTATTTATTCTTTGAAACAGAAAAGAAGATATTTTGAAGAATTTTGTCCATATTATCTAAGTTAACCGAGCGTAAAACAACACTAGACCTCTTTGAAAACACACACACACACACACACATTTTCATGTTTTAGGTGAACTATCCCTTTAAATAATGAATGTTATCAGCTCTGTGATCAACGCTTTCTTGGTACAAGACTTGTTCCATTCATTCAATGTTGAATCTCACTCGCCTTCTAATATTTAAACTCGCCACCAACCTGATAGTTTAGAAAATTAAAGAGGAGGAATTGAGAGGGGAATAAGACAACACAGATGCTTTGCCTTAATCTGCACTGACCTCAAGAGAGATAATGGGAACCCCATGCTATAATAGAGTCTGTGTTTAGGTCATGTGACTTAATGACAAAGCAGGAACTGAAAAGATTTCCCTGGACATTTCCGATGATGATCCAATACACACTTCAGCTATCTCTCTTCAACACAACATAGTGCTTGTGTGTTCCCATTGTATGTTGCCGAAAGTAAATTGAAATGAGAGGCGATTGGGGATTAGCAGAGGCACCGGAGAGGAATAATGAAAGATAATTGGAGTGCTTGGATAATCTGCCGCACCAGCAGGAGTAGCCGAGGCTGTTGTGGCACACCTTGTTTTTCCCGTATAAAGTAATGCAGAGTTACCCATTCATTCAGAACGGAGACACCTGATATTACTATTATCTTCATTCCTGGAGCATTTGGGGAGAGTAGGATGAACAAAGGCATAGTAGGGTTTTCCTCCAGTTTCTTAAAGGTTCACTCAGTATTTTTGTTTTCTAATAAAAAGTTTTAAACAGTGTTTTTTAAAGTAATACTACCAGGTGCATCATTCAAATAAAATTGAATTACATTAATTCAATAGGTAAAAGGAATTGATAACCCATTTGACTTAGCCCTGTAGCATTGTTTCCCCAGGGACCAGTTAAATGCATTACTGTCAATTACTGCAGTGCTTAATGCTATGAAAGCCAGTTTGATGCATTTACTAGTGATTTCGCACTCATGGATCCCATTTTCTTATGGACTTGATGGGACAGTTCAATGAAAACACTGTCATTGTTTACTCACTGCCATGTCATTAAAACCTGTATGACCTTTTTCCTCTGTGGAACATAAAATAGGCCTATGATATTTTAAGTGTCTCAGTCAGTGTGTCTCACTTACAGTGGAAGACAGTGGTAACCAAAACTATTTGGTTATCAATATTTCCTTAGAAGAAATTCATACAAGTTTGGAATGACATGAGGGTGAGTTAATGATGACAGAACAGTTATTTTTGGGTGAACTATCACTTGGTTTATTTTAGTATGTCATAAAGCCCCGTCGTGGCCACACCTTTTCAAAGGAAGTGGCATCAGCATGTTATTTTATACCATAAAACACCTGCTGACTTCATGATAAACCTGCTCGGCATTCTTCATGCTGCTGAGCTTCATCTGAGTGGGTTTTATGCTATCTCTGAACAAGTGTGTGTGTGTGTGTGTCTGTCTCAGACCACTCTCTGTCTTTAGAGCACTGTGGACACAAAACAAATAGCATGCCTTGCCACATTATATGAGACCCACTGATCTAAATGAGTGGTCATAGCACTTCTGGACTGCATTTTTATGGGCTAACCCAAATACCAGTGGGAAAATGACCAGTCACCTTTTACCTTATCTTGCAGTTGACAGTTAATAACTGTGAGAAAGTAAACTCATGGTGGTGTGATATTGTTTGAGTTTCACTTCTGGCCTTCTTGGTTAAGTAGCTGAAAACCAGCAGTGGTGAAGAGAGTGAATTGTGTGGGCTTTGCTTCATTAAGCACAAAAGAGGGAGATAAAAATCTGGTTGTGCTCCTCAATTATAAAATGCCTCAGAGCTCAAAACATTATTACTGCATGTCTCATGGTGGATTTGTGACTTGAAGCATTGGGGCTTTTATGTTTTAGCACAGAAGCTGTTCTGTTGTGGTGAATAATTAACATTTTTTTCGATAAATTTAAACACTGTTTTCTCCCAAAGGAAAAGAAATAAACTTTGGAAAAAGGACCTGAAAGATAATAATAATAATACAATTTTAATTAAAATGTGAGAAACAGTATTAGAGTTACATCTTCACTGGCGCTTTGTACAATGACTGGGAATTTTTTTGGTGAACTATATAATAAAAATTTTTAAATGCCATATTATAATATTATCACATGTTAAGGTATTATTTCATATGAGAAAACCACTTCAATTTTGGTTCAGCTAGTCATTTATTTCAAAATTGAAAAGGGACATCGGATGAAATTTGTACTTTTTTTGCTTTTTTTTTTTTGCATTTAGTTAGGTTCTGGCGTGTCTGCCAGCTCAGAAAAGTTGAAAAGAAAACACGCAGCCAGCTTGTTATGGGCTCTCTGAGTCTGAAACTGTGTCATCTAGCGAGATGTTTCAATTTGCAGCCAGTTGCTACGTAGATACCTGGCTATACTGATTGGCTTCATCACTCTGTCTCCTCTCCACCAATAAGCTGCTGTGTGGTGCGCGTTCTGGTGCAATATGGCTGCCGTCACATCATCCAGGTGGATGCTGCACATGGGTGGTGGTTGAGGAGATTCCATGTAAACCCAGAAATGCGCTATATAAATGTAACAAATTATTATTATTATTATTATTATTTGAATAAGACCACCTCCGAGCCATATACAGAGTCCAAGGCAGCAATTAACACAGAAGAGAGGGGTGGGGTGTCTCATTTAAAGAGACATGCACCGAAATGGGTTGCTGTCAACAGAGGTGTTATTGACAAGGTAAAAAGGGTGTTGTTTTACATGAACATTGAGGAATTTTAACCAAAGTATATTGCAGACATTTCATAAAGACCCTAAAGGATCATACCAACTTGTGGAAAATGGGCATCTGATGTCCCATTTAATTTCCTATATTATATTACAATATTACATATTATCTTATATTAAGATGTGAGAAAATTATTATAAAATGTGAACATTTGCAGATTTACTAATAGGAAAAAATATTTGTAGATATTTTTTTTTCACAACTATCCTCATAATTCTAAATGTTATATGCCATATTATATGGCACATACAAAAAAAGTATATTATATATATTGCACATAATATTATATCCCATTTTGAGATATTATTTTATAAAAGTATGGAAAATATTCATTTTTTCACATTTTCAGGTAATTTATTCATTTAACTCTAAATTTGATATCCATCCATCCATTCCTTAAACCGCTTGTCTTCTGTAGGGTCGCAGACTAAATTTTATTTATCATGTTATAATATTATAGTATCCCATATTAACATATTATTTCATATTGGTGCGATCAACATTCACAACAAATAATGTAAACAGAGTTTCTAGCATAAAGAAACATGCCATGCTGTCCATAAAAAAATGTAATGCTTCTCTCCCAGGTACAATGGTAGAAAGAGAAGGATGGCATTTCTTTTGGCAGTGTAACTGAATCAACATCACTGCGTCTGTTTACCCTGAATATTTATGGCTGGTCTTGTTTTGTTCTATCCTATGTGTGCTGCAGGGAATTTCACAAGCATTTTCATGTAATAGCACTAAATGCACACAAAAACCAATCTAAAGGGCCAGGCACCATCACTGCCATAAAGAACAAAAGAGCAGTGAGGTTAGCCATGCTGAGTACAGAATTCTCACTCTGCCTAGTCAGGGGAATGTGAATCTCAGCATGGAATGCTGTTCCAGGTGAACCACCGCACGGTTGAATTGTTATTGGCCCAGTGTACACATCACAGAGCTGACTGGAAGGGCTGAAGTTAAGAAAGTCAAACAACCTTGATGTAAAACGAGCTGTTCTTTATGTGATGATTTCCTATTTGCTTAACTTAAAGGAACTTAAAGGAAAAATAAAAAGCTACAAAAAGAACATAAGAACAACATAAAGCATATAAAACTAGTCCGTACAACTTATACACTATATTCTATGTCTCTTGAAGCCATAAGATTTTTTTTTTGTGAGGAACTTTGTTTTGTGTGAGGAACAGTCCAAATTTGAGTTGGAAATCCTGCGTTGAAAATCCCATCAACGTAGAATCTTCTGCAATAAGTCTCTCATTTTGTTTCCCACAGAATATAAGAAATCATACAAGTTTGAGGGTGAGTAAATAATGCCAGCATTTTCATTTCGGGATCCCCAAAGATAAGGGATAAGTGTCGGTTGCCAAGTCAGATTATTTGAGATCTCAATCGTGCTGTTTGAGGAGTTCATTACAGGCTCTCTGAACTAATAACAGTGAATTACATTTTCCTCTTCACACTATCATGTGTGACACCAATTAATATTAATTGCTTATAATCCTTTTATGCTGCCATTTGCCAAGCCTGTTTCCTTAGAGAATAAAAACAGCAAGATAAGACATGAGTGTCAGAGACAGAGGTCCTCGGCTTTGAAACAGGAAGAAGTCTCCATAGAAACTAAGATATTTTTTTTAAAAGGAAGTTGATTAAGGAGGCTAAGGAGAACAAAGAATCGAGTTAATCTCAGTTTTCTGCATAGTTATTGTGTAGAGTCTTTGAAAATGCACTCCTAAACTTAACACACATTACCAATAAACAGTGTTGAATGTTGTGAAACAGTCAATGTTTAGGATCGACACCCATATTTACTGTCCTGTTTGCTCCGTTGTCTGCTGAGAGTGCATAACATCCTGCGAGATCAGTCGCACTCAGCACATCACCTGTTCCTCCTGCTGCCCTCAGGGAGACGATACCAGGCCATCAGAGCCAGAACCACCAGACTGGCCTGCAGCCTCCATCCCACTGCAGTGAGACTGATGAACGAACATTCTTCTAATCTGAACCCAGCCCATCACATACACCACACTTCTTTTTCTACACAACTGCAATATAGCTGGGAACTGGACTATGCATTGCTGCAGTATTTACACCATATCTCACATCTGCAGTATTTCTTTCATATGGACAATAATCCCTATGTCTCTGCTGTTTGTTTGTTTGTCTGGTACAAAGTGGTTGAATTTATTGCACTTTATGGACTCTTATTGCACTTTTACATTGAAGGCTGCTCTGATGTTATCTCGTTGTTAATAATAACAATGACAAGAAAGAAAGAAAGAAAGAAAGAAAGAAACACATTTATGCATTCCAATATGCTACATGCTAACGCTCATGTCTCATGCTACCAGGGAATGTTCTCAGAACCTTGGCTAATGTTCTGGTAAGATTCTCTCAAAGTTATGAAAAAAACATTCTTCCTGTAACATTAATGGAATGTTCTTACAAAGTTATCAAGTCTTTAATAATGTTCTAAAAGCATTAGCACAAAAACATTCCACTTTTGATTGCAACACCAACATCTCAAAATCCATTCAACAACCGATAGATAGACTGAATATCCATTACACTCGGGTGTACGTCACAAAATAAAAGAAAATATCACAACATCTGTTTCACTTTAAAAACTCAAACACATGACATATTCATCTCCTGTGTGAATGTGGCCATCTAACATCCACCTAGAATACACTAGCAACCACATAGCAGCGTGTTAACACTCAGAACAGCTAAGTGACCACATAGCTATGACTTTATATGTCAAAGTATATTCCAGCCTTTAATTGCTGTTGTCATTGAGCTCATGTGCAATGTCGTGCTTCCTTGCATTGATTTATGGGTATATGATATGGGTGTGATAGTAAAAGCACTGTTTTGAGTTGATTTACATTTTGCAGTGCTGTGTGACCTGGAACAAGTGCTGCATTACACTGTCTATTAAATGTACTGTTGTAGATGACTGACTTTTCAGTTTGATCTTCAGTGGCACGTAAAAAACATGGCAGCTGCTCTTTCTTTTTTCTTAACTGGAGCAAACAAATGCCTTTGCCAAAGGCATTCTGGGGACTCCCTCAAGTCATAAGCCCAAACCTTTCTTTTGTGGCTAATAAGACTTTGGAGATTTTGCTTTTTGTAAAAATGTGATTAAATCACCTGTGGCTAAAAAGATGGGCACTGTTTAAGGCAATGCTGATGGGATATGAGCTATAGGGAAGTGTTACAATTCTGCAGGGTTTCATTCTGCACCCTAAGGAACAAACTGTTTATCCTGAATGAAGGGAGGGATAATTGGGACAGACATCCACAGGAAATGCTGTTTCCCATTACAGATATGAAGAAACTAGACTGTCAAACTCAGGCGTGTTGCGACACTATGAAATAAAGTCTGGGATCTTGTTTATAGAGCCCCATATTGCAACAGACGTTCTCTTATTGTACAACATGAGCCCTACACTTTTGTGGTGAGTGGAAATGGTTTAATGAGCCAAACTGTTGAAGACTTCACCGCAATTTACTATTCTGAACCACATGCAGCAATGTATCATGCTTTCAGATGGCAGGCCATAAACAAGCAACTATGAAGCTGTTAATTAATTTTTCCTTGTTTGCTCTTGCTTATTTAGTGACACGACAATCAGACTTCATGCTCTACTTGCTGCTTTATAGTAACTCAATTGTTGCATAATTCATGTAGCTAGATTAGATTTTAGTATAGAAAGTGTAGCAGGTGCATGTTTCAGCAGTCCAGTTTCAGAGGGCAAGCTCTCTGGGTCTTTCATTATTTCATAATCATTTCACGATTGCATGTAATTGCATTTTTGAAACAGGAAATGTGTTTCTGTAAGGAGCCATTTCAAGTTCTTTTTGTGCCCCTGTATGTGTGTTTCCTTGTGTTTGTGTGTATTTCAACACGGTTTAAACAAATTGAAGTGGTCTGGAATGAAAATACATTTACATTTATGCATTTGGCAGAAGCTTTTATGCAAATTGACACTGAATTCAAGGTACCGTTTCAAAGTTTGGGGTTGGTAAGATCTTTTAATGCTTTTGAAAGAAGGCTACATTTTGGCTAATTGATCACAAATACTGTAATATTGTGAAATATTCTTAATGTAAAATAAGTTTTCTATTGTAATATATTTTAAAATGTAATTAATTCCTGTCATGGCAAAGCAAAATTTTAGTATAAATTACTCCAGTCTTCACTGTCACATGATCCCTCAGAAATCATTCTAATATTCTATATGATTTGCTCTTCAGAAACATTTCTTCTTAATAAAAATGTCATAAAATAATAAAATAAAAATCGTGTTACATTTTTTAAATTCTTTGATGAATAGAAAGGTTCAAATGAACAACATTAAGTAGAAATAGAAAATTGTGTAACATTTTAAGTCACTTTTGATCAATACAATGTGTATTTACTAAATAAAAGTATTAATTTCTTTCCAAAAAGAAGAAAACTTACTGACCCCAGTCTGTTGAATAGTAGTGTATATATATTCCCAGGGAATCGAACCCATGACCTCACCAGTACTAGTGCCATGCTCTACTTTATGAGCTAAAGGGAAAAGTTTGCAGTATTTTATTGTTCAAATTTACATATTCACTAATCCTGTTTGAAAACTGTGCTGGTGTTTATCAAATGCATAAATGTAAAATCTTCATGTGAATTCATTGTTGCTGATACCCTTATTTTTTCTTTCCTTTAACAGGCCTTGGACTCTGACCGCACAATCTTGCAGAAAATGAAGAAAGCAGCCAAAGCAAAGCACATCTCTGGCCAAGGTAACATGAAATTACATTGAATCTATTGGGTGTATTTGTGTTTACATATGTGAGAAAGTATCTGAAAAGGTATCATTTCTCAGTTATTCGGGTGCTAGCAACATTTTGTCACAAATGTCTTTACTATGCCGTACTTGTTTTTTGAATTTCATGCACATTAGACTGTAAGCAGCATTCATTTAGTCTTTGAATCTGTATGAATTCATTAGAGAGATTGACAGCGTATGCAGAACATTTCCTCCAGCTCAACTATCTATGAATATGAATGAAGTAGAAGGCAGATGCCCCC